GGCTTAAGATCCAATCCAGGATCACACATTACTTTTAGTTGTTATATCTCCGTAGTTTCCTCCTGAGAGGAGGTCCTTATTCTTTCTTTGTCTTTCATGAATTTAATACTTTTGAAGAACAGAATGTCCCTCAGTTTGGGTTTGTTTGATACATCCTCATGATTGAACCCAGGTTATGCATTTTTGGCACAGAAGTGATATTGTGCCTTTCCTAGCACATGGTGACAAGAGGCACCTGATGAGGATAAGTGTCATTATTAGTCACATTAACTTTGATAACTTGATTAAAGTGATGTCTGCTGGGTTTCTCCACTGTAAAGTTACTGTTTTACCTTTTACAGTTAAACTGTCTTACAGAGAGATACTTTGAGACTGTGCAAATATTGAGGCTTAATTTTTTTTTTTCCAGAGGCTGGCCAGTTAGCTCACTTGGTTTGAGTGCAGTATTGTAACACCAAGGTCAAAGGTTTGGATCCCTGGACCAGCCAGATGCCAAAAAAAAAAAAAAAAAAAAACAGCTTAGATAAAAAAAAATTTTTTCATAACAGCTTTGTTGAGATATAGTTCACATGCCGCACAATTCACTCATATAAAGTGTGCAATTCAGCAGCTTTTAGTATATTCACAGGATTGTGTAACCATCACCACAGTCAATTTTAGAACACTTTTATTACCCCCAAGAAGGAACCCCACATCCATTATCAGTCACTTCCAATTTTCCCCTGACCCCCAGCCCTAGGCATCCACTAATCTCCTTTCTGTCTCTACCCGTTTGCCTCTTCTGGAATGCAAAAAAAAAAAAAAAAAAAAAAAACAGCTTAGATAAAAAAAAATTTTTTCATAACAGCTTTGTTGAGATATAGTTCACATGCCGCACAATTCACTCATATAAAGTGTGCAATTCAGCAGCTTTTAGTATATTCACAGGATTGTGTAACCATCACCACAGTCAATTTTAGAACACTTTTATTACCCCCAAGAAGGAACCCCACATCCATTATCAGTCACTTCCAATTTTCCCCTGACCCCCAGCCCTAGGCATCCACTAATCTCCTTTCTGTCTCTACCCGTTTGCCTCTTCTGGACATTTCATATAATATGTAGTGTTTCATGACTGCTTTCTTTCATTTAGCATGATGTTTTCCCAGTTCATCCATCTTGTATCATGTGTCAATACATCATTCCTTTTTATTGTTGAATAATAATCCATTGTATGGATGTATTACATTTATTTATCCATTCATCAGTTGATGGACATACAAGTTATTTCCGCTTTTTGGCTATTATAAATAATACTGCTGTGAACATTCATATACAAATTATGTGGACATGTATTTTCATTTCTCCGGAGTATACATAGGAGTGGAATTGCTGGGTCATATGGTAACTCTATGTTTAACCTTTGAGAAACTAGCAGACTGTTTTCCAGTGTGGCTGGACCATTTTATATTCACTCCAGCAGTGTATGAGGGTTCTAATTTCTCTACATCCTCACCAAGACTTGTTATTATCTGTCTTTTTGATTAAAGCCATCCTAATGGGTGTGAAGTGATATCTTTTTATGGTTTTCATGTGCATTTTCCTGGTGGTTAATGATCTTGTACATCTTTTCGTGTGCTTATTGGCCAATTGTATGCCTTCTTTGGAGAAATGTCTATTCAGATCCTTTGCCTATTTTTATTTTTTATTCATTTGGTTTTTTTTTTTTTTTACTTGTTTGTTTGGTTGGTGGCTGGCCAGTATGGGGATCTGAACCCTTGGCCTTGGTGTTACCACACTGTGCTCTAACCAACCAAAATAACTGACCAGCCCCCTGCAAAAAAATGTTTGCCTATTTTTAGATTAGATTATTTGTCTTTTTCTTATTCGAGGCATTTTAACTACAATGGTTTTCATGTCCATTATCTCCAATTAATTCTTTTCTTTAACTGCTGTTCCTGCTTTATGTTTCCAGCATATTTCCTTTGCTTTTTGAGGTAATTTATTATACTTTAAAATTCTTTTTTCTGTCTGCTCCATCACTTATTACAGATAGACAGTCTATACCAGAGAAAGCATCTTTTATAGTACTTGCTTTCTTCAGTTGCCTCATTTTCTCATAAGCTAATGTTTCCTTGGGACTGTTAGCCATTCTGATTGGTAATGTGCGCCTGGAAGGAAGATTTAAAAGTTAGACCCTATCTCGTACCCCTTCATTGAGTTTAGGGATTGGGGTTGGATAGAAGAAGAAAACCTCCCAAGCTATATGAACCCTTGGAATGTGGGCTCAGCCACTCCCCATTTGCAGCAACATCCTGTGCTCCTCTAATGCACACGTGCGCGTGCGCGCGCGCACACACACACACACTTCTTTGTACTGTTCTTTTTCAAGAGCTGTCTCCTTGAGTTGTAATTATCTAACTTACCAAATGGAGGGGTGTGAGGAGGGAGACCCATTCAGGTGCAACCAGCTCACTTACCGCTTGACCTCTTGTTTGTTTCACATACGTGTTCATATTCACCCCAAGCTAAGCTCCAACACTGCCCTGATGTTACCCTACTGCCTCTAGTTGGTCCTGGGCTGCTTACCTGGCACTGGCAACAGGGCAGGCAGTGACTTGCTCAGCATAAATAGAAAGCCTGTCACCCACCTGTTGAGTCCTGACATTCTTCAGCTGTATGCTTGCTGTTCACCCCAGCCTCCCAGTGTCTGGTCTGGGGATCCCTCTAATTCCTTCTTCATTGGCTTCCCTAGGTTTAAATTCCAAGGAAGAAGTCAGCAGGCCTTGTGTGTTTATTGTCTTGTTGGAACTGAAAGTCAAAAGGGATAAGTCCTGAGAAAACCTTCTGGAGAAGTTAGCATTGGGGAGTAATCCAAAATGGCTATAGATATAATGCCTAGGGCTGACATTCAACAGGTACTTCTGGTATGGCTATCCCAGATATTTCTAGCCAGTCTCTATTATGAGTGTCTGGTGCCTATGATGTATCAGTTAAGTATTTTGAATATCCCAATACCATTACCTGACACAATTTACAATATTTACTCCATATGAACTGCTCATGGAAGTGAGTATTTATTATTATCACCATTTCAGAAGTGAAGAAACAGATTCAGAGATAGTACTAAGTGAGATTATGACTTGCCAAGGTTTACACAGCTAGTAAGAGGCGGAGGTAGGACTTCCAACAAAGGTCTTTTCTGTGAAATGCTAAGCTGACTTTCCATTGACTTTCAGGAAGAGGGAGTTTTATGAGACCAGAAGGTAAGTGCTTGAGGATCAGGTACCAGCTCAAGAGGGGAGAGCAGGCTCTGGCATAAGCATTAGGGGAATGATGATGCGTAAGTCAAATTCCCTTTCCTAAATAATTCCCAGTGAATTGGGAGGCCAGAGTTTTACCAGTGAAAGAGTAAACCAGAACATGAAGCTGAAAATATTGAGAACAGACAATAAGTAATGTGGAACTCAGAAAAAGAAAAACAGTATCTTATCAAGGCAAGCAGGGAGGAGGTCAAATTGAAAGTCAACTGGGCAGTAGATAGGAGAGATGCAGGAATTCATGGAATCAAAAAATTTTAGGTTTTTTCAAAATGTCCAAACTATAATTGCAACTTGTGGTAATGGGCATGCTGCCAATATGAATCTGGCCATCACATCTTGGACACAAGTGGTGACAGTCAGCTTTTTACTCTATGAATATTCATAACCAATAAAAGAAAAGAAAAGAAAATGTCGAAACCCCTCATTTTATTTTTTATTCTTTTCTGAGCATCCACAAACCCCTCATTTTAAAGTACAATATTCTGGTTTTTGTTTTAGTTTTTATCTTCAGAAACTTATTATCTGTATATGAGAACTTTTTTTTCTTTTTTCCATTCTTAATTTTTAAGTTATTTATCTATTTTTTTTATTTTTTTTATTTTTTTTTTTTCCCCTTTTTGTCTTTTTTCGTGTCCGGCAACGGATCGCAACCCTCAGTGTTGCACCCGTACCGGACCGGGACCGGCAACGGGATCACAGCCCTCTCCAGTGCGCCACCGGGCCGGCCCATCATTGGCATTTTAATATACTGTACGTACTTGGTTTTTATTTTGTTTTGTTTTGGGGGGGGCTGGCCAGTACAGGGATCAGAACCCATGATCTTGGTGTTACAAGGCTGCACTCTAATCAACTGAACTAACCAGCCAGCCTTGTACTTGTTTTATAACATATCTATCCATTTTTTCTTTCTTCTATCCAATTTTTTTTTGATGCATTTCAAGTAAATTTGTAGATTTTAGTACCCATTCCTCTAAATGGGTCAGCATGCATTGGCTAGAATTTTATATTTGTTTACAGTTTTTTTTCCTTTTAATGTGAAATTTATATACAATGAAATGCACAATTTTTAAGGGTATATTCACTGAGATTTCTTTTTTTTTTTTAAATTTTGTTGAGTCATACCCTAAAATTCATTCAAGCGTACACTTTCAATGATTTTTTAATTTACAGAGTTGCACAACTAATCCTAAAATCTAATTTTAGAACATTTTTATCACCCCAAAAGAACCTCATGCCCATTTGTAATCATTCCTCATTCCCACCCTGGCCCTGAGCAACTACTGATCTATTTTCTGTCTCTATATATTTGCCTTTTCTGAACATTTCATATAATTGGAATCAAACAATTTGTGGTCTTTTGTGTCTGACCTGTCTCACTGGATGTCTTTTCATTTCTCCTGGGTATATGCCTAGGAGTAGAATTGCTGTGTTATATGTTTACATTTAACATTTGGGAAATTGTCAAACTGTTTTCCACAGCAGCTGCACCATTTTAAATTCCCACCAGCAGTATATATGGGTTCCAGTTTCTCCACATCTGAGCTTCGTGAGGGTAGGGGCACTAGCTTCACAGTTGTCTTTGTGTGCCCAGGGCCTAGCGCAGGGCATAGCACCCAGACTGGGCTGTTGGTGAGGGTTGTCTGAGTTGTGGGATTCTCTTAACTCAAGCTTCTTATTTTGCTCTTTGTTGTTTTATAGGGGCTAAACGAGGAGTTTCCAGTTGTCTAGAAAAATGCCAGAAGAGCTCACCAGGTACTGGGAGGCAACCCTTTTCTGGAAAATCCTTTTACTTGGATCTGCCTGCTAGCATGAATCTCCAGTTTTTGACAGGGGCCATTCAGCAGCTGGGTGGGGTATGTAACCTGCTTCTCTCCTATGATACCATGTGCCTTTGTGGGTTGTAGGACAGGAGCTAGAAAGGGATTATATCTGTGGTTTTCAGGTATATATTCAGTGGCGTCACTACATTTTCCAAAGGAATTTTAAGAATAAAACAGTTTTTAAATAAAGTTAAAATTTTTTCTTAATTGGAAAAGTAATGTCTATTTATTCTAGAAATTTTAGAGAACGTGGAACTACTCCAAGTGACAACCAGCATTTTTATGTATTTTCTTTCTTCTCTTTCTCTTTTCTCATAATGGCTTTATTGAGATATAATTCACATACCATAAAATTCACCCATCCTAATGTGCACAGTTCAGTGGTTTTTAATGTATTCACAGAGATGTACAAGGAGTGTGATCACACAGCCAATTTTAGAACATTTTTATCATCCGCAAAAAGAAACCCTGTACCCATTATCAGTCACTCCCCATATCCCTGGAATACCCCCAGCCCTGGATAAACACTCATCTACTTTTGGTCTCTATCCTGCCTTTGTTTTTTTATGCTTATTTCTGTGTAGCTATGATCATGAATACATTTCTGATTATCAACTTTTTACCCATAAGCTTAAAGCATTAGCACTTTCCTGTTAACTGCCCTTCATATGCATTATTTGTAATGGGAGTACAATATTCTTTTGAGTGGATTATAAATTTACAACTGTTGCCCTATGGACATTTAGATCATTTCTAATTTTTAGCTCTTAGAAATAACACTGTGGTGAGCAACTTTGGATAAAAAGCATTTGCTGTATTTAAGCCCATTGAAATATTTTTAAAGCATATGTCATATGGTAATTTTAGTAAGGAGTTGATGGGTATCTCTTGTGTTTAGAAAATAGTGTGGTAGTACTAGTAACAGGAGAAACTGCACAAATAGGCTTGGAATGCAGAGGCTCTTTGCTGTCAAACTAACTAGAAACTGAGGAGTGCAGAAACTCAGCAGTGGGGATAGACAGAATGAGGAATATATACCCAGACTGGTCCATAATTGTATTTTGAACTTTTAGTCTTTTCTGTCACTTACCCTTTGCTGTGTAAAAAAAACACCACCCCAGAACTTGAGCTTAAAATAACAATTCATGATTTCTCACTATTCTTAGGTTGGCTGGGTGGTTTCCCTGGTGGTTTCAACAGGGCTTAGTTCTCTGGCTGCATTCAGCTGGTGGGTCAGCGGGGCTGGAAGGACCAAGATGGCTTGGCTCACACATCTGGCACTATGTGGCTTCTCATAAATTAAAATCTTCTTATATACATCGTATGTATATATAGTAAGCTAGACCAGCTGAGTTATACAGTGGTCTTAAGGCAGCCTTCCCAGGAGGTGTAAGGAGAAGTCGTGAGGCCTCTTGAGGCCTAGGCTTCTAGAATTCACACATACTACTTTCCATATATTATTTGTCAAAATGAGTCGGATTCAGGTGGATAGAAAAATAGGCTCCATCCACTCTGGCATTCCAATAAAAAAGAAAAAAAGAAATTTTTTTTTTTTGTGACCGGTAAGGGGATCGCAACCCTTGGCTTGGTGTCGCCGGCACCGCGCTCAGCTAGTGAGCGCACCAGCCATCCTTATATAGGATCCGAACCCGTGGCAGGAGCGCCGCCGCACTCCCAAGCACTGCACTCTCCCGAGTGCGCCACGGGGCCGGCCCAAAAAAGAAAATTATTTTAAAAAAAAGAAAAAGCTCCACCTCCTGATAGGAGGAACAGCAAAGTCGCATTGCAAAGGAGTTGGGTATACAGGATGGGAGGAATGTGTGGCCATTAAACAATCTACCATATTTATATAGGATAACCATTGCCCCACTCCCACCCTCTAACTTTTGGTTTTGCTGCATTAAAGAAGATAGATGTAATCCTTCAAGCCATAACTTTAAAGCCTTTTTAAAATTGTAGTAAAATGTATGTAACATAAAATATGCCATTTTAACCATTTTTTTTTTTTCTTCCTTTTTGTCTTTTTCCGTGTCCGGCAACGGATTGCAACCCTCAGTGTCGCCCCCGTACCGGACCGGGACCGGCAACAGGATCGCAACCCTCGGTGTTGCTCCCGCGCCTCGCTCAGCCAGTGAGCGGGAACCGGTCTGTATGTGGGATCCGAACCCTCGGCGGGAGTGCCGCCGCACTTCCCAAGCGGCGCACTATAGCAGTGCACCACCGGGCCGGCCCCAATTTTAACCATTTTTAAGTATACAGTTCATTGGTATTAATTACCTTCATACTGTTTTGTAACCATCACCCCTGTTTGTTTCTAAAACTTTTTATCAACCCAAACCTCTGCATTTATTATGCGATAACTCCCCATTTCCTTTCTCTCCAGCCCTGGTAATCTCTAATCTACTTTCCATCTGTATGAATTTATCTGTTCTAGATAACCTCATATCAGCAGAATCACTGATACTTGTCCTTTTTTGTAGGGTTTATTTCACTCAGCATAATGTTTTCAGGATTCATCTGTATTATAGCATGTGTCAGAACTTCATTTCTTTTTAATGGCTGAATAACATTCCATTGCATGTCTGTACCACATCTTGTTTATCTGTTCATCTGTTGATGGACATTTGGGTTGTCTCCATTTATTTGCTATTATGAATAATATGCAGTGAATATTGGCATTCAAATATCTGTTCAAGTACCTGTTTTTAATTCTTTTAGGTGTATACCTAAGAATGCAATCACTGGGCTGAATATTAACTCTACATTTAGCTTTTTGAGGAACTTTTTTTTTAACCTAAATGCCAGGTTTCTCATCCGGTCACCCTTTTGAGACATCACCTATCTTTATTTTCAGTAGTGTGCTGGACCTGGCAGGAGCCAATTGTTACTATCTTTCCCAGGTCCTCATTCAGTGATGTCAGGTATGACTCCCCAGAAATTGGCAAATGTACAAAGCAGGGATTTTTTTTTTCCCATAGAGTTGGTCATTAAGCATTAGCTAGCCCACCACTTCTCTTCTTCCCACAAATGTGAGTTAAGTGTCATTGTGTTTCAGGCACAATGCTGGGTTCTTGGAATACAAAGATGAGACAGACCTTCTCAGTGCCCATGAGGGGCTTACAGCCTTGTAGAGTGAGCAGATACCTGTGCAGCTAAGTATTTGCTAAAACTGTCTTGTTTCTTTCTTTTTTTTTTTTTTTTCCTCGTCTTTATTTCATTTTTCAGGCTCTTTTTGTATTGTGGTTGAGATTACAGGTGCAGTGTTTGGATCTCCCAGTGTGTCTTACATGGAAAAATCATGGCTTAACCAAGCTACCCTTAATCCTGTCTGGCCCCTTCAATGTGTTCTTGGTGCATGCAAACTCAGACTGATCATATAACTCAAAGCCTATGGCTTTCTGCTGCTGGTTCAGGAGCAGCAGTTCTGGAGACAAAAATCTGTATTATTATATTTTTTTTTTTTTTTTTTTTTTTTCCTCGTCTTTATTTCATTTTTCAGGCTCTTTTTGTATTGTGGTTGAGATTACAGGTGCAGTGTTTGGATCTCCCAGTGTGTCTTACATGGAAAAATCATGGCTTAACCAAGCTACCCTTAATCCTGTCTGGCCCCTTCAATGTGTTCTTGGTGCATGCAAACTCAGACTGATCATATAACTCAAAGCCTATGGCTTTCTGCTGCTGGTTCAGGAGCAGCAGTTCTGGAGACAAAAATCTGTATTATTATATAAACTCTATTATATTTCAGGATGATGTCTTCTTGGGACTTGGTATAGAACTGCATTTAGTCTATTTAAAGACATTGATACTGGAACTTCTGGCAGGCAAGATTTCCTTTCCCAACCTCTTAATATTGACAATTCTATGTCTGCTTTTTGGTTTTCAACCACTTCTGTGATCTGGTTTCAGGTAATTGAGGGTTTCCTGAGCAAAGAAGTAAGTTACATCGTGTCCAGCCGCAGAGAAGCAAAGGCAGAGAGTGGTGGGATGGGCCACAGCGGCTGCCCCACCCCCAGTGAGGTTAGAGTGGAAACATCGTCCATGGCCAATCCAAAAGTCAGCCACACCAGGCCTTCCCAGAAACCCGTAGACTCGGTGAGAACCTAATGCAGTAGGAAAGGAGACTTTGGTGACCCCTTTTATGCAGTTTCTGGTTTTAGTTTCATCTGGTTTGATTTATTCTCTCATTTGAATTCAGAGACTGAGACTATTTTATCATAGTTCTAGACCTAAACACCTCAGTAGCATGCTATCCCTTCTATGCTATGTGTAACTTTTTATGGGACTTGAGAGTCAGACTTTCAGAAACAAGAGCAGAATCCTCTGTAAACCAAAGAGGACTTGTTGGAATTTGGCCTAGGCTTGGGCAGGAGTACCCTGAGGAGGCAGCAATTCCCTTCTCCCTTGCTGTCATGTATGAAGTGCCAGCAGTTTGAACAAAACAAATGTCATGTCTTTAACTTAGTTTTTGGGGGGTTTTTTGTTTGTTTTTTTGGTGGCTGGCCAGTACAGGGATTTGAAACCTTAACCTTGGTGTTACAACACTGTGTTCTAACCGACTGAGCTAACCAGCGAGCCCTATGTCTTTGACTTAGAATGCAATAAGTCTTTTTCCCCCTAGTCCTACATTCTTTTTGTTTAACTTGGAGTAACATTAAAATGTCCATGCAGATACACTGTTGGCATCGTAATGAGGGACAGGACTTCCAAAGAGTGAAGAAAAGATTTTCTTTTTTTTTTTTTTTTTTTTCCTTTTTGTCTTTTTTTTTTTCATGACCGGTAACGGGATCGCAACCCTCGGTGTTGCGCCCGCACCGCGCTCAACCAGTGAGCGGACCGGTCTCTCTATGGGATCCGAACCCTTGGCGGGAGCGCCACCACACTCCCAAGCACCGCACTCTACCGAGTGCGCCACCAGGCTGGCCCAAGAAAAGATTTTCTAAAGTGAAACATTTGCTATCATCTGCTGGAGAGTGCAGAGATTTTTTGTTTGTTTGTTTGTTTTTTTAAAAGATGCCCGGTAAGGGGATCTCAACCCTTGACTTGGTGTTGTCAGCACCACACTCAGCCAGTGAGCTAACCAGCCATCCCTATATGAGATCCGAACCAGGGGCCTTGGTGTTAACAGCACCACACTCTCCCAAGTGAGCAACAGGCTGGCCCAGAGATTCTTAAAAATAGGTCTTAGGGGGCCGGCCCGGTGGCGCACTGGATAAGTGCGCCGCTTGGAAAGCGCGGCAGCGCTCCCGCCCGAGGGTTCGGATCCCACATACAGACCGGTTCCCGCTCACTGGCTGAGCGAGGCGCGGGAGCAACACCGAGGGTTGCAATCCCGTTGCTGGTCCCCGGTCCGGTACGGGGGCAACACTGAGGGTTGTGATCCGTTGCCGGACACGGAAAAAGACAAAAGACAAAAAAAAAATAGGTCTTAGAACATTTGTAACCATTTGACCTTGAGTGAATTCAGAGTGCCCTTTACCAGGTTCAGATTGCCTAGGCTACAGTTACCTCTAAGTGACCTGAACTTATATGAGGCTTTATATTTCCCTCCTAAAGGTTCTATAGACTCTTGTTTCTGCTGATCCTCAGCTGTCACTGCACCCAGTTTTCTGAGAGACATGACCCCATGACATCCTCGGCAGCTTATGTGTAAACATCTGTGTGCACGGGTGTCTACACAGCATACCTCATTGCTCTACTCTTCCTGTCAGGTGCTTATGAGCAGAGGGAAGGAACTGCTGCAGAAGGCCATCAGAAACCAGGTGAGCTGGGGTAGGACGGGATGGAGGTGGATGTCTCCAATACAAGGAAAGATTTCTTTTCTTCCCAGATTCTTCTGAAGTACTAACACAACATGCACACTCTATGAGATGTGTAGTCTTATCATTATTTCCTTCTTACAAATGAGAGAGTGGAGGCAAAGAGAAGTTAAGTAATTTGTCCAGAGTCAGCTAGAAAGTAAGTGTTAGAGCCAAAGCCAACTCCAATTCCAAAGCCTACCAAGAGAGCCTTGAGAGGGATGTGGCGGGATATGTCTGCCCTGCACAGAAGCCAGACTTTGTACATCTTCAACGAACAGCTGTTTATCCCTTTTGTGAAAATCCAGGGCTGTTAAAGTTCAGTGGCAGTAGGAGAAGGTGATCTTGTGAGGAGTAGTTAAAGTGACATCAAGAAGGGTACATTTGGCTGTGCTGAGGGAGATGGTGCTGCCAGCCAGGGGGAAGGTCTGCAGCTGGCATGGTTCCCTGCTCAGTGGTGATGATGATGATTGTCACTGGTATTTATTGATTTATTGTGTACTGACAGTGTGCTGAGAGCTTTCTTCACAGAGAAACAGCTCTCTTAAAAGCATATGTTCCTTCCTAATCACAAGGTGGCCAGAGTAGAACACATAGGCAGGTCAGCAGTCCGTCCCCTCCTGACATGGCCAGCCCATGTGGAAGACTGGGTGGGATGTGCTCTCTCCCTTGCCTGACTCCCCCAACCTCTTCCCCTCACATGTCCCAGGGCTCCCAGAGCAATATCAACCTGTCCTCATCCTGTTCAGGCCTTGGGGAGTCCCACGCTTCTACCTGACTCTGCTTTGTCATCTCAGGGCAGCAGCAGCAGAGGAGGCAGTGGGAGCAGCAGCAGCCTCCTGGCCAATGCCCGCTCCTGGGGAGTGAGGATTCTGCATGTGGACGGTACTGTTTCTTCCCTGGGCTCCTGTGGAGGGGAGAATTCGTGACTTTGGCAGTGTCAGCTTTTAGAGGGATCATGGTTGCATAAGCTTCTGGTAGCTGGAAGCCAGAAGTACTCAGTTACCATGTTGATCTACAAAGGTGGGAGGGTGTGGGGAAAAGCAGTAACAGTAGCAGGTGCAGGCTGTGGCCTTGGAACATCCATGACACTTACCAGGTATGTACTCTATGCTAGAAATTGCCTCATTTAATCCTGTCCACAGTCCTGTCTGCATTGTACAGATGAGGACATCAAGCCTCAGAGGGATTAGGTAAATTGTCCGTGGTCTCACCAGAGTGAGTAGTGTGGCCCATGTTCCAACCCAGTCTGGCCTGACTAAATTTTGTGTTTTTTCTTTTCCATAGGGTTGCCTTGCACTACAAACAACTTATTTGCAGGTTGTAATAAATTTATACCAGGATAGCTGTCCTTAATCAGCTGGCAGTGACTGATCTCATACCCAGCTCTACTTGGAGTCTGGGATTTTTCTGATCTATTTTAGGGGACTGGTCCAGGTAGGACAGCCCCACGTGCTAACTGGGGTGCTGCCCCATCCCACCCTGTGGTACCAAGATCTTCCAGAGGGATCAGGGGCTATGCAGGGGAACTTCCTAGTCCGGAATGTGGGGGCTCCATTTCACTGAAAAATCAGCCATTTTTTTTTTTTTTTTTTTTTTCTTGTCCTTTTTTTTTTTGAGACTGGTCACTCTGCGCTCAGCCAGTGAGCGCTGCGAGCGCACCGGTCATCCTTATATAGGATCCGAACCCGTGGCAGGAGAGCTGCTGCGCTCCCAGCGCCGCACTCTCCCGAGTGCGACATGGGCTCAGCCCAAAATCAGCCATTTCTGACTTGATCTCCTTTCCTGCCTTCCTCTGTGTTAGAGAAGCTCCAGCATGTTTAATCCCTGCTGGGTTTTCACCTAAGGATACATCTGAGTAGCTCATATGACTTGGTCTCCCCAACAGAAGGAACTGTTCAGTATTACTTAAAGTCCTTAGTGAGACAGAAAGCACCTCCTGTTCAAAATGAGTTGTATTCCGTGCTACAAAAGCCAGCTTAGAGGCTGGCCCGTGGCTCACTCGGGAGAGTGTGGTGCTGATAATAACAAGGCCACGGGTTTGGATCCCTATATAGAGATGGCCAGTTAGCTCACTTGGGAGAGCATGGTACTGACAACACCAAGTCAAGGGTTAAGATCCCCTTACTGGTCATCTTTAAAAAAAAAAGCCAGCTTAGGTACTTTTCTGGGGGATAGAGGACCCAGCCCTTACCTCTTGTCAGGAGATGCAGAGGTGACATGTAGCCAGAAGGTGGCAGGCAAGGCTGTTATGCTCCCTTGGGCTAGGCCAGGTGATAAGCGTAGTACTGCAGCACAGGAAGGGGCTGTGCTGGATAAATAAGGAGTGGAAGCCTTTGGCCACAGCCCTCTGTCTTCTCCACAGAAATGATGATGCATGTGCAACAGCTGTCTCTTGGTTCTTTATGTGTGAAGAAACAAGAGCCAAAGAAGCCAGAGGTAGGTCATCCTGCCAAACTGAAGGGCACCAATGGGTTCCAGTGCAGTCTGTGACAACTTTGGTAAAGCCATGACCTACCCAATCCATGTCTTTCTGGCTATTCTTAAGAAAGTAAGAGTGCTCTCAGTTATCTCATTCCTAGTGCCCACAGCTTGTTTCTCTTGTCCCTATGATACCTGCACACCTCTCATGGTACACTCACCCTGCTCAGGCATTCACTGTGGCCTGGCCCAGACAAATTCATAAGTGCTCATGGCCTTCTGGCCAGGCTGCCATTCTAGGGACAGCTCTTGGCCAGGGAATGAGCCTGCAGATTGGGGGCGGGGGGGGGGGGGCGGCGTTGTTTGAGATACCTGCTGTCTTCCAAATTTTTATTTGGTTTTTTCTTTTTTTGCTGGGGTTAGAACTTTGGGTACC